GAGGAACCTCAAGGATATTGAATTCTGAGGACAGTTCCAAAGGATTCCTTGGGGAGTGTTCCAAGAAAACTTTGCGAATAATTTCTAGTTAATCCTGCAGATGGTTCCAACATAATTTCAAAAAGAAAACCGAGAAGATTAAATTTTGAGTGAAACTCTAAAGGGATTTTGAGGAAAATATCAAGAGAGTACCGATAATTTCTAGCACATTCCAAGAATAATTTCTGGAGGAAATTCTTCTGAAACTCCAACGGAATTTAAGCTCCAAGGTGTTCTGAGTAAAAGTCAAGAAGAGTTCTAAAAATAATTCCAGAGGACTTCTTAGAAGAATTTCAAAAAAGCTCATAGAGTTCTAAAAATTTCGAAAAGAACCTCATGGAATTCTGAGGATGGCCTTTTTTGCAACTGTACAAAGTCTAAAGACAGCTTTTGGATTCCCTAATTGAAAAGTGGGTATTAGTTTGCCATTGAACTTTGGTCTATTGCTGTGTTACAAACTCGCTATATAATGGAACGTTTCATCGATATTATGCGCATACTTTGTAAAGGTGGCCGACCACTTCGTGAACATTCGGAAGGAGCGGAAAGTATGCCACCCAGTTGGTGGCTAACTACGATCCTGTGCTGGAAAAACACTTCGCGGAAGGTGCCAAAAATTGCCAGTACACAAGTAACCGTATTCAAATTGACATGATTACATCGTTGCACAATGTAATGTTGCGAAACATTGCGAAATCCTTGCGAGGAAAACCAGTGGTATCATTGCAGATGAGACGAGTGATTGTGGCCACCACGAGCGGTTGGCAATTGTCATCAGGTATATTGATAATGATCGGCCGACGGAAACATTCGTGGGTGTGAGACGGGTGTTGAAAACAGACGCGAAGAACATCTTCAATACTATTGCTGAGGTCTTGACAGCGATGCAGATTTCTTGGGAGCAGGTGTTGAAAGTATATTTTGACGGTGCCAGCCCAATGGCTGGCAGCACTGCTGAGGTACAAGCCGAAAGGACGAAAACAGCAATATACTTTTATGAAGAGCTTTCAGTTTGTTGGTTTATTTTCTTTTGACAGATACGCGTATTTCGTCTACTACTTGCAGACTTCATGTGCCAAGTTCTCAAGATTGGATTGGATTGGATTGGATTGGATTGGATTGGATTGGATTGATCAAGAGCAATATACTGTTTGTTCACTGCTATGCACACTGTTTTAACCTTGTACTTGTCGACGCAGTGTGCATGTGAAAGGAGAATGCTATTCTTATTGGTCATTCATATCGGTTTGTCGGTGCTATCACCACCATCTGAAGTGACTTCAGCTGAATCCAACCACCAAGGCAACAACATTGCAGCAAATGTAGACCTACTATTGCAACCATTTGACGAACTATTATCATCGACATTGTCGATGGGATTAAATTGTCAATCCCATTGGCTGTCTGAAAGCAGTTTCCATAGAAGAAGATGAACCACCACGGGAGTAAAAATTAAATAAAATTGGCTAAATTGAACAGTAAGGAAACAGTGGTGGGTGGACATCACCATCTCCCACGCACTTTGGAGTACTCTCCATCCCCAGATTAAATGCACCATAGAAAAAACAATTGCCCCTTCTTCACAAGATTCCTGTGCACGCTAGTGTGTATCGTTCTCAAGAAACACGCAAGCTCTACAAGAAACTCGACGCATCCCGCCAAGGCTTTGTGCCGCAAGCCGAAATGTGTCGGGATAAGGAAGGGGGTATCTTAACGGACGAACGTGAGGTGATTGTAAGGTGGAAGCAGCACTTCGATGAACATCTGAACGGCGCAGAGGCGGAGGACCAAGGCGGCAGGAGCAATGGCTTCGTCGGTACAGCGGATGAGGGGGACATGCCAGCTCCCACGATAGGTGAAGTTAAGGATGCTATCCGACAGCTTAAGAACAACAATGCAGCTGGGACAGATGGTATCGGAGCGGAACTTATCAAAATGGGCCCGGATAAGTTGGCCACTTGTCTGCACCGACTGATAGTCAGGATCTGGGATACAGAACAGCTACCGGAGGAGTGGAAAGAGGAAGTAATGAGCCCAGTATATAAAAAAGGCGACAAACTAGTATGTGAGAACTATCGAGCGACCACTATTCTTAACGCGGCCTACAAAGTGTTTTCACAGATCAATTTTCGTCGTTTATCGCCGCTAGCAAGCAGATTTGTGGGAAGTTACCAAGCCGGTTTTGTGGACGGGCGATCGACAACGGACCAAATCTTTACGTTGCGGCAGATTCTCCAAAAGTGTCGTGAATATCAAGTCCCTACGCACCATCTATTCATCGATTTCAAGGCCGCTTATGATACTATTGACCGTGAAGAGCTATGGAAGATTATGGACGAGAATGGTTTTCCCGGGAAGCTGACCAGACTGATCAGGCCTACGATGGATGGTGTACAGTGCTGCGTGAAGATATCGGGTGCGTTATCGGACTCGTTTGAAACTCGCAAAGGACTTCGACAAGGCGATGGTCTTTCCTGCCTACTGTTCAACATTGCGCTAGAAGGTGTTATGAAATGTGCGTTCTTTATCATGCGGGGCACGATCTTCAATAAGTCCATCCAGTTCATCTGCTTCGCTGACGACGTGGACATTGTCGGAAGAACGTTTCAGGCCATGGCGGAGCAGTACACCAGGCTGAAACGTGAAGCAGAGAAGGTTGGATTAAAGGTGAATACGTCGAAGACAAAATATCTGTTAGCTGGAGGAACCGAGCGGAATAGGGCTCGCATAGGCAGAAGCGTGACAATCGACGGAGATGAGTTCGAGGTGGTGGATGAATTGGTGTACCTCGGAGCATTGGTGACGTCCTAGGCGAGTAAGAGAGGTGACACAGTCGGAAGAAGTGTTAGTTTGTTTACTAAAATGAACCATGCCCATTTTGTTATGGCAAGTTTGCTACACGCTAACTTGAAAGTACCCATTAATGGTTGAAAAAGACCCATTTTGAAGAAAAGATACTCATTAATGGGTAAAATTGTTTAATCATTAATGAGTTAAGCCACTTTTCTTCAAAATGTGTCTTTTTTTACTCATTAATGAGTACTTTCAAGTTAGCGTGTATAAGAAATGCTCTTCGTGTTTATTAGCGAAAGTCACATCAAAGATTGATTAAATGCGTAGGAAATCAGTTTGGCACGGCATTTGTGACCAGCACACACCTTTTGGTCGTACAAAACAGGTCAAAAACAGTCCAAATCCGCAGATAAACATTTTTATATTGCATTTCTGTATGGCAAAATAGTGAACTTTTCGTGAACATTAACGGCAAAGAACTCACCAACACTGGGAGACCGTGAGTTTCTGCCCACCTGTCAATTCCCATCTCGGGTGACGTCGGATAACAACTGCAGCAGAGAAATTCGTTGGCGTATTATTGCCGGAAGTCGTGCTTACTACGGACTCCACAAGACCCTGAGGTCGGGTTAACTTCACCTCCGTACTAAATGTATCATGTACAAGACGCGCTGATAAGACCGGTAGTTCTCTACGGGTACGAGACGTGGACGATGCTCGAGGAAGACCTGCAAGCACTGGGTATTTTCGAACAACGAGTGCTTAGGACCATCTTTGGCGGGGTATGTGAGAACGGTGTATGGAGGCGAAGGATGAACCACGAGCTGGCACAACTCTATGGCGAACCCTGTATCCAGAAAGCTGCGAAAGCTGGACGGGTACGATGGGCGGGACACGTTTTAAGAATGCCGGACAACAATCCCGCAAAAATGGTGTTTGCCTCGAGTCCGGCCGGTACAAGACGAAGAGGAGCACAGCGAGCAAGTGGAGCAGGATCTTGGAAGTGTGGGACGGTCAAGAAATTGGAGACAAGCAGCCACGGACCAGGATAAGTAAGTAAAGTGATGATTTTGCCAACACTGGCCCTAACTTAACATCTTGAATAGGTAGAAGATTCCCGTCTTCGGCAAAGATGTTCAGATGAACAAGACCTATTTTATGGTTAACAGTTCAACTCAGAACTTACTCATAAGTTCTCACTGTTACTTCACGTTGTTTCGAGTTGTTTGGCTCAACTTGACAGCTTGCCTTGATAGAAGGATTGATAGATATGACAATTTGAATTTATCTGTAAAATAATCTTAGTGTGTGGAGTCAACACCGTACAGGGTACAGACAACGTAAGTTTTATTCTGGCACAGGCGAAGGGTTAAATAAGTAATTTCACCGAAAACATCACCAGAATAAATGCTGATTCTGATAGGGTGTTTAGGAAAAGTTAAAAGCTGCATATTTTATAACATACACACAATTTTACATATAGAGTGGTAGAATGTCTCGTTTGCTAGGGGAAATATTTAAAAAGTACTATTTTAAGCTGCCTAATGAAACGTCGATCAAATCATAAGAAGCCTCACAATAAAAAATAGACCAGAGGTCTCTGTGTGGCTAAAATGGCCCTACAAGTGGATGTAAAATTTATCAAACAAACGCAAATTGATTTCTAAAATCCAAAATAATCTATTTAGCTCCGTAGTACCGACTTTAACCCACTGTGCGTCAAAACGAACCATTTCATTAATTTTCATCACAAGTCCCTTCACCGATTCCGAAGTAGTTGGATACTACACAGAACTATCCTTGTAATTATACCATTTCATTTTCCTTCAACTTTTGCATGTTCCCGTTTTCCGACAGCGTAGCGAAAAGTTTACCGTTTATACATTTGATTCATGTGGTGTTCTTTTTCCATGTCACTTTGTCGTAATGTTTGAGAAAAAAAAAAACAAACTTGAACCAAACTTGATGACAACCATATACTTATGAATATACTCTTTCTAGTTATTAAGTTTCGTTTCGTTCTGCACCAAAAACACTCTTTTTCCACCGAAAAGTTCCGAGAAACGGTTGCCCCTCGACGACGCTCGAACTATTTCGCTCCAATTATTGTAATGAAGATCTGTAATTTTCTTTTCTCTAATTTTCTTCATCATTTCGTACTCATACAGGGTAAAACAATTGTGCAATTGATACCAAAAACTTTAGTAAGTATTTTCATTAGTTATTTATTTACGAGTTATTTCCCTTTCGAATTTTTCACTCGATTTATACATTTCTTCATTTTGTTCCCTCGCCTCATGTGTTTCACCGCCACACATTTATTTGTTATTTTATCCATTTGGGTCATTGGTTTATTTTTTTCGGTGAGTGTTTTTCTTTTTGTGTTTGGTGGTTTCTTTTTTCATCCTAATTGGGATCCAAAATTTCACTCTAGGTGTCTTATTTTTTAAGTGTTTTCGTTTCCATCATTTTCAATCGTATCGTTGTATTCGTTTAGCTGAAATTCATTTCGATTAACAAACATTACCGTTGGTTGAATTAGAAATTTAGTCAAATGCTGCTTCAGTACCCCATTCCAATGATCCTCCTGACTGCAGCTAGTGGCAAGGGAAAGGGATGAATTACTTGCTGTGACAAACCGCAGACCACAGAACCCGTCCCATTCCCCTCCCCCAATCCAAGAGCAGCGAACTTTCCCAACTTCCGACCATAGTCAGAGCCGGCTAATTCTCCATCCATTGCATTATTGGAGAGCGGACCAAGTGAATGACAATATATACGCACCCGCATAAACCGGAATCCTGAAACCAGAAACCGAACGTTTCCCCTCACATCTATAGCAAGGTGCCCAGTAGACTGGTTCAAGTAATTTGAAATTTTGAAATTGTAGAATGTCGCATGAGTATTCGATCCCTGGATATCTCCTCCGGGCTTTTAACCCGATATTTCAATTTGATACCAGTCAACTGCACCGTTCCCAAGCCCCCTTGTTCGTGTAGTCAGCCAATAGTACCTAGTCCTAACAAGGAGCGTGCTCAATAGTTCGTAGAGGCCACCATCTGTCCCGGCCGCCATCAGTGCTCTCCGGTAGCAGGGAAGATGATCACCATTTATTGCCACCCAATCCGACCCGACTACTAACCACGCTTGCCATGCTTTGTTGATGTGTGGTTGGAGCTTTGGAATTGAATTGTTGCATCGGATTTACATCCTGCACCCACACCGTGTAACGCACCAACACAAAAACCGTATTCATCATCAGTAGTGGGATGATTCTAATTCAAACAATAACAAAAGCTTTCGTAACGAGAACCGTATTGTGTGCGTGTGCATTCCCTTTGTAGTTTTCTCTCCGCCCTGTCCGAAGCCCCCAAAACCACCCCTTAGAAAGTCCCCGTCACGAGAAGGGACGGAAGGAGCGAGCTATAGAGTCAGTGTTCTAGGACAATAGGTCAAATTAGAGGTTTTGCACTTGCATTATACACATTCACACTAGGGTGGGTTACCACTATATGGAAAAACTTCAAACGAGAACAACCCTTTTTTGATTCCATTTTAGGTCCCAAATAACTGCACACTTAGAAAAATTGATGCAAATTTAGGTGCTCTGAGACTGACACATACACTACCGATCATAAGTTTAAGGACACCCCCAAAAACCATGCAAATATGTTACATCAATCTATCCAGCGGGACTTAACAAATTTCAAAGTTGATACGTGTTTTGGAATGTACCAATAGCGTACCATAGCGTACCTTCAAGGATTTTGAACGTACCTCAAAGCTTCCCGGAAAATCCGTGTCCCGCTGGATAGACATACGATTTCAGCAATGACTGAGTCGATCGATCAGATTTCTACGGAAATGTGACGTACCAAATGCGTACTTTACGAATCTGTCATTCATTTTTAACGTACCTCTTATTTTAACTTAAATGCTTATACTAAACTTTTTAAATCGTTTTTATATATGAATTCTGGGCACGGAATTGGATTCATCGAAAAAAATTAAGCCCGATTTCATATAAAAAACACTATACTTAAGTGCATTCTAGCCAATTTGTGGACCAAAAACAGTTTTTTTTTTAATTTGCATCGTTTAAAAATATACTAATTTCGAACAAAACCGTTAATTTCATGAATAATTATGGAGACGCACGGTGTTGCTTGGAAAAATCCATCATAAAAAAAGCCTTGATAACTTTCTGATCGGTCATGACCAACGTACCTGTCTGGAATTCACTTTCTGATAGAATTTACCAGTGATTTAAATAAAAAAAATTATATTATTCCAAAAATTACATTTTTTCGATGATACATTAGAGAAAACATGATCAAATGATCAGATATCTATCAGAAATTATTCCTGAATATCCAACACTTTCTGATCAATCATTACCAACGTACCAACAGATTTTCTTTAATGTATCATCAAAAAAATGTAATTTTTTAAATAATATTATTTTTTATTTAAATCACTGGTAAATTCTATCAGAAAGTGAATTCCAGTTAGGTACGTTGGTCATGATCGACCAGAAAGTTATCAAGGCTTTTCTTATGATGAAGGTTTCCAAGCAGCACAGTGTGTCTCCATAATTATTCATGAAATTCAAAACCGTTAATTTCATGAATAATTATGGAGACACACTGTGCTGCACTGTTAAATTAGTATATTTTTAATGGATAAAAATTAAAAAAAAACTGTTTTTGGTCCTCAAATTGGCTTGAACGCACTTAAGTATAGTGTTTTTTATATGTAATCGGGCTTAAATTTTTTGAGGAATCCAATTCCGTGCCCAGAATTCATATACAAAACTATTTAAAAAGTTTAGTATAAGCATTTAAGTGAATATAAGAGGTACGTTAAAAATGAATGACAGATTCGTAAAGTACGCATTTGGTACGTCACTTTTCCGTAGAAATCTGGTCGATCACTCGGTCATTGCTGAAATCGTATGTCTATCCAGTGGGACACGGGTTTTCCGGGAAGCTTTGAGGTACGTTCAAAATCCTTGAAGGTACGCTATGGTACGCTATTGGTACATTCCAAAACACGTATCAACTTTGAAATTCGTTAAGTTTGTCCCGCTGGATAGATTGACGTAAATATGTTTTGTTCAAGGTTCTCTCAGTTTACATTCAATTTTCGATCTCCAAAGGTTATTTGAATGGTAGAATCAAAGATGAATACTAAGATGAAACTGTCGGAAGAATATTTTTTTTATTTTGATGTCCTCTTTCACGGTCCCTTTCATGCAATGAATACCCCCCGTATTCAAGGTAATTTTGTGGTTTTGCTGCCCCCTCGGTAGAAATGAAATTTTGCGCTCATTTTGATCAAAACAATCACACCAACATCAGAGATGTCCCATTTTTTTATTATTCGATTAACAACTAATCAATTACTTTTTGTTCGCTGTGCTGCCATTTTTCCACAAATGAGAGTGCAGTACATGTTTGAAACGTTCCGTGATGATCATCTGGAGATGTTAATGCTTATATCGGTTTGTTATAACCGATTACAAATATTTTACTTTTCGGTTCGTTAATCGATTAATCGATTATTCGAATGAAAATCGGCCATCACTAGATGAATGTGAAACGTCATTTCAAACATAAGGACCGTACACAAATAATGATACAATTTGAAAGGGACCGGGGCTAATCTCAAATTACGTCCCCAGGGTAACTGAAATAAACACGAGTGTTCACCGGTTGGTAGAATGGTATAGCATAAGTGTTCTACTACTACTTTTATTTGGCCAACCCAATTCTGAGAAAATCAATCACGATTCTTCAGAGTAAATTTTGAAAAATATTGTAACTTTGGGGCACACCAAATTTGAAAACTATATTGAACTATTTGCCTACGAGGAAAGTTCCATTCAATACCTTTCAAATTAGAGAACGAAAATTGAACGTAACATGACAGAGATATGAACATAACAAATTTGTCATGTTTTTTTGGGGGTGTCCTTAAACTTATAATCGGGAGTGTACGAGCTTGACATAAAATTGAGCCATACACTGTACGAAAACATCCTCAATATTTCGAATGATTATTGCATTGCTCAAGCTCTTCAACAATATGCATCCGAATTTCGGATGATTGTCTTATGGTCGTCAGATGATGAGCATCCATATGACTGTCATCCAAATAAAGGATGATTTTTATTTAGAAATTGGCTGTCAAACATACAGCGCTCAGAGTACAACAATTCAGTGTCAACATTTCAAAGGGGCGCAATTGCATTTGTAAATAATGGCTTTAGCCATCGTTTTCTCGCGAATAAAAGCATACTCATGAAAATTAATAAGACCAGCAGGTAGAAGAATGTTTCCTTTACCAGCTAGCATTGTTAATTTAAAGGGATGGGCTTTTATTTGCGAGAAATCGATAGCTCAAGCCATTGTTTTCAAAAGCAATTACGCCCTTTGAAATGTTGGCACTGAATTTACGAATAGTATGACATGTAAGACATACTTTTAATAAGATATTTAATTCGATTGTTTATATTTCCATTCTGAATAGCCATTCCATGGATTCAAAAATTCACCGTTGATAGAGGAAACTTCCTCCACCACAAAATAGACGACCTTCGGTTTCCATGCTTAACCCATGCTCGTATTAGCTATGATAGCAATGGCTATGCTTCCACCTCGTTTGTCAGCTCAGATCAGCAAATGACGTTCGATAGAATTATTTTGCATCATCATTTTGAATGATTTCCGTTATGGGGCTGAACCAGTACCATATCCATTTCAGTTAAGGACGACAATCATTCTGCAGCGATCATTACGCATTTCAACTGAAGGCTCTATCCCTTTTCATAACATTGTTCATCCTGTATTCGAGTGGAAATTCATCGGATTACAAAAACATCCGTCATCCGGTTGCAGCTACCATTCGGAAAAGCGATTTAGATGTTTCGGTTGGAATGGTATGAGGTTTCATTCGAACAGAGGATGGTATTTGTGTACAGTGTAATAGACGCGAAATTTAGCTCAATCGTACGTACTTTTCGTCGAGAAACGATCTGTTCAGTCTTGAACAGCGAATCCAAACACATAAAGCAACCAACGATACAGACAAAACGGTTGCTACGACTACCATGACAAATTCACTCTGTAGCACAACTCGATCGGAGCGGTAGAAGGACAATGATATATTGCTTGCCTGCTTTGTTGCAATATGCATGGATGAG